CCCTGTACTGTTTCCCACAGCGGTGGCACCAACTTACATTCCTACCAACAGTGCACGTGGTTCCCTTTCCCCACATCCTCATCAAAACTTATCTTTTTTGTCTTTTGATATCAGCCATTCTAACAGGTGTGAGGTGAGATGTCACTGTGGTTTTGTGCATTTCCCCAGTTATTAGAGATTTTTAGTATTGTCTCATATACCTGTAGTTCTTAAAGTGCAACAAGAGTGTGAGTGTCCCCTCCCAGGAGATGGACTATATGTGTTTGCCAAGGAAAGAGAGCGTTAGAATTTGCAAATTTCCCAGGAAAGTCCCTCTCTGCAGAGAAGTTCCACCTGCTTGATTTTTTATGCTTATACTAGAGGCCCGATGCACGAAATTTGTGCAAGGAGCTCAGCCCTTGTGGGTCGTCCGGAAGGACGTCCGGTCTAATTAGCATCTTATGCTTTTTTTAAAAAAATATATTTCATTGATTCTTCACAGAGAGGAAGGGAGAGGGACAGAGAGCTAGAAACATCGATGAGAGAGAAACATCGATCAGCCGCCTCCCGCACATCTACTGGGGATGTGCCCGAAACCCAGGTACATGCCCCCGACTGGAATCGAACCTGGGACCCTTCAGTCCACAGGCCGACGCTCTATCCACTGAGCCAAACCGGTTTCGGCTCATCTTATGCTTTTATTATTATAGATGAGAAGACAGGGAGAAAGACCATCCCTCACTGACTCTCAAGTTAAGACCAGTCCCTTCTCAAAACAGCTGCCAGAGTAGCTCTGTTAAAGGTCGGCGGCTCACGTCACTACTCTGCTCTAAACGCTCCGACAGTTCCTCATCTCACTCGGAGGAAAAGGAGAGTCCTCAAAACTGTGACACACAGTCTGGCGTCTGTTACCCTCTCATCTCCTCTCCCCCCTCCCCCACGGGACCTCTTCTTCCCTCTCCTCCAGCCTCAGAGTCCGGCCTCTGCACGCCTGGCTTCCTTCCTTCCAGTTTCATCTCCATGTCACCTTCTGCGTGGAGCCTTCCCTCCACTGCACCCCTCAACACACCCTTTATTTTTCTCCATAGCACCTGCTCTTTAAACATACTGAATACTTTAGGTGTTTATTATGTCTTCCCCTGAAGCCAGACATTTAATATGTTTTTTTTCCCTTCTGCTCCCCCAGTGCCTAGAACAGAACCTAGGACATAATATGTCCTCAGTAAGTATTACACCAATAAACGTGTGAACTAAAGAAGGCCCCCTGAACCCAGCTCACAAAAGGCAGGAGCCTCGTGTGGGCTGGCCCACTCCCGCCACTGCCCCAGATGGCGTGTAACTGAAGCTCCCGCCTGCAAGAAGGAGTGGGCAGTGCACGTCTGTGGCTCTGCACTTGGCATTACCTCTGCTGGGATCAGTTCAGCTTTTAGTCGGTCTCTGTCTCTTGATGTCCAGAAGATTCCATTTCATGGTGATTTTTAAAAAATAAAATAAAAGGTCTGGCTTCTGGCCTGTACTCAATCACATAACACAAATACTAAAATGACACGCCCACACCCGGGGCTCATCCAATCACCTGTTTAAAAGGTTTCTCTAAACATCACCAATCCCAGGCAGAGAGTCCTAGGAGGGCACAGCAGGGTCACAGGAAGCCCGACTAACAAGTGACCATTACATGGAGCCGCCTGAGATCAGACTGGGACACTTCCAGAAACATGAGCGTGTCCCTCCCACTCAGAACCTCAGAAAGGACAGAACAGGGAAGTGAGGGTGCTCCACGGAGCCGCGAGACAGCCCTTCACTTAGCATCCGCAGGTGGACTCCTTTCCTGTTGTAACTTCTCTGGGAATACAAATGTTTCTAGGCACACACCAGAGTTCTAACAGCACAGGGATCATTTAGGATCATCTTTAAAATTAAACAGATTAAACAAGTGGTTAGTAAGTTTATCCTGAGGAGCAGTGAGATGATCGGGGCTCAGAGTGCATTATTCCCAGGAACGTGGCGATTCCCTCACACTTTACTTGACTTTTAGAAAGTGCAGAGCAAAACAAACGCACCCCAATGGCAGTCAGCAATATGCACGGATGTTACAAAGTAACAGGAAAAGTCGGAAGAGTATATGCGACATAATGCCTCATAGAAAATCAGACACCTAGACGCACTTTCAGGAAGACATATAGACACTGCGATAGAACAACGTGAACAGTAATCATGTGCACAGATGCGGTGATGGTTACCTTGAGTGGGAGAGGCAGGGAGGCGGGCGGAAGGGGTTGTGATCAGATGTGAGTACTTTCTAGATATTGTCAGCAGAGAAAAGTTGTATTATGTTTATTATGTTCTATTAAAAAAACAGAGGTTTAATACATTTTCACCAGAAATGTTTAGATAACAATGAAAAGATGTAGAGCACCCATCGAGAACATTTCTTTTCCTAGGAGTCTCCACTACCCAGCGCTCTGGAACAGTGAGGCACACTGAGTCTGGATCCAGCATGACAGTTTTAAATCTAATAAATACTGACACATTCAATCATTAAAACAGATTACCTGACTATGTCAAGTACTGTAAGTTATATAAAAAAAGCCGACATTGAAATGAACATTCCCATTCACCACAAAACTTTGTGCAGCACAAATTACAGCATAAACAAGTAAATGTCTCATTTTACAAGGATTTGAGCTTCATAAGCTAAATCTGGAAGCTTTCCCCAAGAATTCAGCAGCCTCAAAGTTACCCAGCACATTCCCACGGTGCAGGCTCCGCCCTGCCGGGGGCTTTGGACACTGCGTGGCGGGCAAGGCCTAGGCCATCTGCCCGGGCACCGTGTCCTTCCACGGGAAACAGGCAGATTTGCTGAACAGTCACAGAAGAACACGCTGCCACAAATCCTAGTCTCATCGTAATTAAGTTATAACTAAAGGAAGAAACAAAACTAGGAATTACTTTACAGTCCTTACTTCTTGTGCTATTTCGTGAGAACGTTGTGTAACTGCCACTTTGGGAAGCCACTGTAAGAGAAATGAGGAAGCCCACCTCTCAGCGCCCCAAAGAATGGAAGCCACAGTGCCCTCGTGCTGGATAGGAAGAGGACCTGTCACCGCGGGAAGCAGCAGGGGGGGGCACAGAGAGAGAAGAGAACTGAGCAGATACAGGAACAAAAAGGAAAACGATGGACCATGGAGAGAGCAGTTTCAATAGCATTTTAGACATGGGGCCCAAATAGTTTATTAAATGTCAACAAATATTTAATGAGTGCCTACTATGTGCCAAACCCTGGTTTCAGGAAGGAAACTGGTTAGAGTTAGCAATGGGTATACACTAAGGGTTGGAGAAAGTAGAATATAAAGGGGAAATTTTAACCCCTAGAGTGCCGGGAGCATGATCACGCTCCTCCTGTCTTTCGCCAAAAGTGCCAGGAGCGCTATCGCGCCCCTCCTGCAGTGTCACTATTAGATGCTAGTAGTTCACTCTTTATTGACAGATGGCACCTAAGTGCAGATTACTTATGATGCCGAATGTTTGTAGTTCTAAAATTGACCACTGGCATTTATCTGTCTAATTTTTTACAGGTACTACGATTTTATAAAGTTTAAAACACTCAGACTTTGTAGCCCTAAAGCTTCGAAATGGTGTCCAGTTCTAAGTCTGCTTTTATTAGTGATGATATTGCTAAATATGTCAATTCTTACTGTGAAGATGACGATTTTGTGGAAGATATTGGAGAAGGGTGTCCCTCTATTTTAACATTATATGTTTTGTTCAAATTTTTTTCTACTAGTATTTTATAATACAATCAGCAAACAATATATGTCAAAGATGAAAACAAATGTAGTAAAGGTTTCCTTAAGTTTTTGAATATGTAAGTTCATTTACTTGCGATTCATAATTTTTTTCCTAAACTGCTGTAAAATCAGCAAAAATGCCTTGGCAATTTTAGCATAGTTCCTAGGATATTGGTTGGCACTCAAAGGGTTAAAGTCTATACTTTATAATTGTTATAAAAATAGATTCTTACCAGAAGACGATGAGAAGATTCATCTTGTGTAATCTCAGTCTAGAAACAATATAAAATATAAGGAATTCAAGTGGGCCTCTAGGAAAGGTTTTCCCATTAATAAATGCATATTAGGGAATAAGTTATAATACATCTTAAAGGCGGGATTATTAGTTTTTGTAATCTGGTTTAAAATTGTAATAACGAATTACAAGGATATCTTTTGTTTGTAAGAGGCTGTTTCTGAAAAACACAGCATATTATTTTAAGTTGTTAAACAATCCTTACAAGAGTGTTTGATGGTTAATAGAAAGCCTCTTGCTGAGGCACAAGAGAACCCGCAAGTTCAAGGTTACGGCCAGAGCAAGACTAGATCTGACCCAGCATGTTTATTCAAGTTACTGGATCTGGACTAACATTCAGAACAAGGTCCGGGTTTTTGCACACGGTGCCGCTTATTCAAACATCCTTTCCCCTAAGACACCACTGACTACTTTTTTCTCCTAATCACTCTCCTGCTCCATTCATTCTCTTTCTTAATTGCGTAAGAAAAGTAAAATAGAGCATCACTAATCTGAACACTGGCATATATGCCATAATTGCAAACAATTTCTGCCATTATTGATGCACTATTACACAAACAGTAATGAGTTTCTAGTGTCACATTGTTTACAAAACGGCGTTCCGTTTCTAATTATTATTGTTTGAAAATATTCTTCAGAAAATTAAACTCTGCAGATTTACTGTCAAAATAGACATTGTCATCAAGTGACTGTACTAAGAACCTACAGAAACATCCAGCATGGTAACACGTGTGATAGGACATGCATGTGAAGGAAAGAAAATAACTATTATGATTATCAATCTGTGTGGCGTTATTAGTTACATACGCAGAGATTTTTATCCAACTTAATTGCGTGCGAATCCAATTACTTTAATGAATGTACTAGATCACATCTAGTGTTGCTCTGGCCACAGCATGGAACTCAATATTGATGCAGCTTTAGCACCTGGTTTAATCTACAAGATGTTTCCCAGGAATGAAGTGACATCAAGGCCACAGCTCAAGGGCAGGTTTTGCCAAATGCATTAAGTTAGATGGCAGCACCCATGTGACTATGTAAAGTGACATATAATTTACATTGCTGACAGTGTCTTCCTTCGTCACTAGGGATCAGCTTTGTAATCTGTATTAAAGGTTGGCATTGAAATTCAGATTTAAGAGGTAAGCGTGCTCCCTTGTTCACTAAATTCCCGTCAGCATTCACCTCTGCAGCCCTCCACTCCCGCCTCCTCCGGCCTCTACTCTACCTCACGGCTGTGCTGTTTGCTGTACTTTTAATGATGATGAACAGTGGTTAGCCTCGTTTCCAGAGTTCTGGACCTTGCATGACAATTAGGAAAAGTACTGTTCTCATGTGATCCAGGGAAACTAAACTGTTATAGAAGCCAGTCCTTTAATACAATAAATATTATAACTTACTTTCACCAGCTAATCGTTGGCATTTCAGCCTGAGTCTATATTTTTCGTTTTCTTTGAGCATTCTAGAAATGACTTTGTGTACTTTTTTCCACACTGAAACCTTAAAAAAAAGATAAGTACAGGTTAGGAACACTGAGCAGAAAGGCAAAATTAAATTCGGCAGATTTACTGTCAAAATAGATGTTGTTATCGAGTGACTGTACTAAGAACCTACATTTTGATGGAGGCGACTGGGAGTGACTCAACTGTGCTGCATGTCAATTGATATTATAATTATAAAGCAATATTAGCACTTAGAGACTCAAAACTTAAATGTAACCGTCTTCCGTGATCACTGAATTCTGATTTCTCTGCCCAGCTTCCCAGCATTCCCTCTCTGTTTTAAGGCACCTGTCCTGGATGGAGTTTCCTCTCCAAGGCCATGTCTACGAAGCTCTACCTAAATGGTTCCAACACATTCGATTTTGTTTCAAAAGATAATAAAAATAATGAATTTCTATTTCTATGTCTAAGCCAGTGGACAGTAATTTCATTTTAATGTGTTTTATTTTAGATAAGAAACACTTCTACTAAGACACACCAAAGCCAAACGACTAGAGCAAGAATGTGCTAGAATGGAGAGTGAGGACCACGGAAGCAAGTGCACAGACCTCGGCTCAGACTCTGGCTTTGCCCCTCGCCGTTGCTTGGCACTGGGCAAGTGTCTTAATCTCATCCAGGAAAAACCTCAAACATCCGATTATTAGAATTAATGAAAAATATTTGTAAAGCACGTACTGTGTCTGGTACACAATAGTCATAATATTGGCTATTGCTCTTTTCTCCTCACCCAAGAGGAATTGGTTCTTGGAAAAAATATTTCTAGTGGGAAATTCAAAATACATTTGCTGCAAGGGTTAGTCACCTTGAATGCTATTTTATACTATATGTAAACTACAACTCACACACTAAGCTCAGAAAATATTACTTTATGTGCCGTTATTAACTAACCATTTCTTTAAACTGAAGTATAAAGTATATGGTGGAAATGAAAGATGAGCAAATGATCTTGAATATGTTTAAACATTCAGGTTACCATGACCTTTGGGCCAGAGGGGAAAAGATTCAGCACTAACGGTTCGTCCTTGTCCGCTTTCCTGCCAGATGCTTAATGTACGTTCCTTGTCTTTAAAAAAGCAACATGACCCAATAGATGCATTCTTTTCTGTGAAATCCATGATTTTCTCCTATGTTATCCATCAGAATTTGTGACAGTCTATAGAACATATATTTTAATGCTCTGAAAAATCTCCCGGTGGGTTACATTTTGATTAAACTGTGTTTTATACCTTCAAACACAAGGACTAGTCTTTATTGTTAATAAGTATTTCCAAACCAAATTCCATTTTTGATAAATTACTTCTACTTTTTCATTTCAGTAAATTAAACTTTTCAAAAGATGGCACTATTTGTACTGTCTTGAGCATATTCACACATTTGTATTTAGAGAGCTTAATGTAAAATTCAACGCTGCTCATCCCCCGGTTCTATAATATACCTTTTTCTTTTTCTTCATTACTTTGGAAGCTCCATTGAAATGTATGGGAAACTCAAACTTTTTAGCTAACGTCTTCTGGGTTAAACCTAATCGTTAAAAAAGAAAGTAAAACATCAAGGTCAGTACGTATTTTAAAGGAGGCGCTATCCTGAGAACGGAGACAACTATGAGGGTCTCTCGAGCTCTCTGTGGGGATTTTTACAATTGTTGGTATATTGCTGATCACTAGGTAATACCAAATCTATTGCAGGCCTAACAATGGGTAAAAGAAAAATTCTGTTTATAAATAATAGTATGCCTGGAAAATGCATATCAACAATAACACTAACTCTAATAATAAAAGAATTCAGTGAAGTACAAGGATCTGAAATTAACATACAAAAATCACTAGGATAAGTGAAAGAAGCCAATCAGGAGAACTGACATATTGTAGGATTTGACTTATATGAAACTAAAGGCCCGATGCACGGAATTCGTGCAGCAAGGGGCTCGGAACCCCGCAGCCCTGGCTTCGTCCGGAAGGTCATCAGGAAGGACGTCCAGAAGGTCGTTTGGCTGTCCGGTCTAATTCGAGCCAAGGGGGGTGTCCCTCAGCTTGGCCTGCACCCTCTCCAATCTGGGACCCCTCAGGGGATAGCCAGCCTGTGGGATTGGGCCTAAACCGGCAGTCGAACATCCCTCTCGCAATCCGGGACCGCTGGCTCCTAACCACTCACCTGCCTGCCTCCCTGATGGCCCCCAACCACTCTGCCTGCTGGCCCCCAACTGCCCCCCTGCCCCTGTGGGCCTGATTGCCTGCAACTGCCCCCCATTGCTGGCCTGCTCGCCCCTAACTGCCCCACCCCCCCAGCCAGCCTGATCGCTCACAACTGCCCTCCCCTCCTGGCCTGATCACCCCTAACCGCCTCTGCCTCGGCCCTGCCACCATGGCTTTGTCCGGAAGGTCTCCCGGAAGGTCTCCCAGTCTAATTAGCATATTGCCCTTTTATTAGTAGAGATGTCCAGAGCAGGCAAAGCTATGGAGGCAGAAAGGAGTCTGGTGCTTGCTTGGGCTCAGGGGTGGGGTGAGAGGGGCGGTGAGAAGCAGTGAGTGCTGATGGGGCCGGGTTCTCCTGGGGGTGATGATAAGGCTCCGGATGGACCTGTGAGCGGCCTCGTGGAAGGCCGCACTGCAGCTTCAAGGGGAGCTGGGTGGAGGGCGATTCTCTCAGCAGAGCACATGGAGGGCGCCCCCAGAGCGAGGCAGGGCTTCTGACCGGTGACCAGGGCGCGGGACTTGGCCAACCTCCTCACCATGTGTGTCATTCAATGCTGAATACAGTTGATTTTTTTTTAAAAAGATCAGAGGCCTCATAAGCACAAAGACAGGCATGAAAGGGGCCGTTATGGAGGAGGGAGCCACTCACAGAGCAGAGCAGACCCCGCACCCTGGCAGGAGCTGGACGCGACCGGGCTGCCCTACAGGGGGTTCAACACAAGACAGTCCCGGAAGCCCCTCAGGGAG